TATATATATATATATATATATATATATATAGAGAGAGAGAGAGATCATTTTTTTTTGTAATCAGTTTGAATACAAGTACATCCTAGAGTTCTGTAGGCTCTACAGTTAAAGTTTACTGTTTGGAACAGAAGCATGTTTCAATGGTTTGAATGACTTATCCATCACTGTGTTAAGATTCTTTTCTTTAGTTATTGAGATAGTTCACATCTATATTGAACATTCACAATACTCTCTACTTGTCAGTTTTACTAATTATAGTTCTCTTACCTGTAAATGTTATAAGATTTCATATGTTAATCTAGCCATACACAGTGTTAATTATATTTAATGTATGACTTGCAATTGATTCTTTGTCTTGATATATAAAGTAGATTTGATTTGTGACATTTGTTTATGCTGAGCTCTATTGTATAAATAAACCCTGGTAATTGGTATTGTGGGAAATTATTCAGTTTTGAATTGGTAAGGTCAAGGTTGACTTTAGCCTGCTCAAGTTGAACTTTCAATTTCATGGACAAGTGTTTTTGTTGTAGCTTCATCGCTACTAATTATGGCCGTGTCACAAGCCTGATTTTTACATTGCTATTAATGGTGTCATAATAGTTTTACTGTGTCGAAGTGAAAGGAAAAATAATTTTTGAGTGCAAGTCAGGTTTTCATGTCTCTTTTTGAACTTGCATCATAACCATCTAGTTTAAGCTAGTTATGGCTATATAGTTTATGGCCAGTGCTGAAGTAGAAAAGCAATTTGAGGAAGTTTTTCACATAGTGTATATAGTTTAGAATTACAAGTCTTAACAGTGATGATTAAATTTTTTCTGTTTCAAACTTTTCACTCTAGTACAAGAATGAGTGAGGTGTGGTGTCAGTTACACATTTGACAAAGGAAGGTTTGATAACTAATATGTCACTGCTGCTTCTATTGTTTTGGTATACTAAGATATTTAAGCTGTTATTTTCTTTGCGTTTGTATCCTGATGATGTGTGTGTGTGTATATTACCTTTATTGCAGTTTTTGATTGTAAATTATTTTTTTTCTGAATTGTATTTACTGTCACTTTAGTTTTAAAAACTTTTAGTATAGGCCATTATAGCAAAAGAAGTACTTCAAATATATTTTCCTAATCATATAGATCAGGAGAGTTAAAATTATATGTTTCACTTAATTGGTTTTTATAGCTTAATAAATGTAAAAAGCAGGATTAAGTAAGATTTTAGTGATAGCATACTGCTCTAGCACTAAATCATACAAAAGTAAAAAATTCCTCATGAGGAGGGATGGAGAATTTGTAAATGTATTTGGCTACTCAGAATTGTAGCTGAGTACCCAAGTTAACTACTTTATATTTATTCCATCAGAAACTTAGAAATGACTGTTGTTTGATTTCCTGAGTGTTGGAAATCACCAGACAAGTTTTTGAATGCAAGTTATAACTGAATGCTATTCAGGTACACTGATATTTCAGTTATCTAGAATTTATAGCAAATTTTAGGATGAGTTAATCAGAGAATAAATTGAACATGGACAGTTATGATTACTTAAGGAAAAGAAGAAAATGCAGAAGAATGAATGAAAAAAAACTTAATCTATACAACTAAATGTATTGCTGGGGATTTGCCTGGATTGGTCATCTTGTAAGTTGGAAAAGTATGTCCACACCAAATAAAGACAGGATGTTCCAAACTTGAGAGAAACAAAAGCAGTTAACACTTCCTCAGTTTCTAAGAAATTGTAAGCTAAAACCACTTTGATTTTATTTGGCATGAAAAGAAAAACTCTGAAGAAAATATGGTTATAGTGTATCTGTCTTAATACAAGATACCAGACATAGTTTCTTTTTTTTTTTCTTTTTTTTTTAGTTTTACTTTTTTTTCTTAGTTCTTTGGTGATATTTAAAATCTAAAAATATTTTTTTATTTTGGAATGGTAATTAATATTTTTTAATGATTGGTTTACAGGGCTGTAGTGGAACAGCAGGGGATGGCTAAATTATTGGCCAAAAAAATGGATAAAGCTCTTCAGGCTGCTATGGTTGAACTGGGTCAGCAGAGCCCTCTTTGGGTTGAAGCTGCAATTCTAAGAAAAGTGTATCATCGCATCAGGCTAAAGTTACCTCTCGATAAGTTCATTCAAAGTTGCAATAGGGTATGTTTTAATTCTTCTATTATCATGATATCAAACTGACATTCATAGCTAACATGATGCTTGCTTCTCAATTGTTTTAAGTAATATATGTATGATTTACAACAAAAAAATTATAATGATAAATTTTGAGTTGATTTTTATAAGCTGAGATTAAATTTACTTGTTAAATGTTATCTTTGTTACAAAAACTGTGGATACATAATGTACCCGTGTTGGTGATCAATAGGTTAACAAATATTTAGACAATATTCATATTTAAGTGATTGGTATAGACT